CAGCCGATAACTTGTACAGTGATGCAAGAATAACTTTTTTCAATTAACATAAGAGAAAATGTTGTTACTGGGGGTAACTGTAGAAAATTATTCCTATCGAAAGCATGTAAGTAAGTTTATTAGGTATACACAAATACAGTTAACATAGATTATCATGCATAACAAACTATGTGTAGAGAACCTAGGATAACCAAAAAAGTCAGAGTGACTTATTCATTGCCTTCACTCAGAGCATTTCATTTCTTCTCAAAAATTGATGTTCATAGAAATGGGAGTGTTTGTGAGGAATGGTTCTGAGAACCGACTTGTGATAAATTGACTCATGTGCAACTCTTGGTATCTTTATTGGTACATTCTATTCAAGATTGTGGGACTGACCAATCGACTCAAGGTTGAGGGAATGAATACCTCGTTTCCTCTGTTTTAAAGATTTCTCCTTTGTAAGGACTGATGTTGCTGAGATGTGTGAAATAAAGCAGAGTGTATTTTGGTTCTGTAAGCAAACACAAACAGGGGCAAACTGGAGTGTAACATCTGAAGCTTCACCCGATTACCCCTGAGGCCGAGTATATTCCACTGTAAATAGGCCATGATTGGCAATGATAAAGATACTTGAAAACGCGATAAGGGTTCCTACAGGATAGAAGGGTTAAAAAGTCCCATGCGGAGGCAGTGGAAAATGTTAAGCAGCGAAGGAACGGCTGCACGGTGAAGAAAGGGAGTGACGCCAGATGGAGCCGAGGAGAAGAGAAAGGCGGAAAGGTGGTTCAGTGTCCATTGTTGGTTTGGTCTCGGCAATATATTAGAGATTATTCAAGTGATTCGGAATACAGAGATTTGTATGGAGGACAATATTGGAATGGTAGGGGGAGGATGAGTAATATTGGAACTGTATTGGGACTGTAACCAAGGTAGGGGGGGGCAAAAAGGGTGGAGGAACTGGATGAAGCGTGGCAGGGAGGACAGAGGAGGCAGGTAAACCTGGCTGGTGGCAGAGAGGAAGAATACTTGCGGAGGGAACAGGGGAAGGAAGGTACATTACGAGGAGGGGGTGAACCTCTGCACATGTAAACTGAGCCTCTGTGAGAGGGAAGAAGAACTTGGGACAGAGTCAGGAGGGTAAAATGAGGGAGGTGGAGATGGGTAGGAGGTGTTTCCGGAGCTTTTTTTGACTTTGAGAAGTTGAGGGACGATTGGGAGGAGGTGTCGTCCGAGGTCTCGTCGATACTGAGCTTGTGAGAGAGAACTCGCAGAGCGTGGATTAGACTGAGGCGTTGAAGTAGGGGACGTCTGAGCCGAGGACAGCAAAAGGTTTAGATACAGGAGGATTATGGAGAGGGTAACACAGAGGGTGGTGTAGAAGATGGGATACCAGATGGGGATGGGACGTTTGAAACACGGGAATTAAGAAACACGTAGAGTCTTCCCTTGGATGCGGTGTTGAGTAACTGCCATTGCAATAAGGGAGTCTTCTGTCTCATTTGAGGGTAACGGATTTCACGCTCGTTATAAATAGACATGACAACGGGCGAGAATACGATGGGTGAGGCCTCATGACAGTTAAGGCAGAGGGCCCAGACTCAAGATCATGCAATACTAGACACCGTATCTGTGACCATGGTCATCGGCCCAAACTACTCTGACCACCACTGGGATCTTCGGCGATAGATCTGCAATATTTCGCTGGATGCCAAATCGCCAGCAATTTCTACCACTGTTGTGGTGTGGATCAACTTTCGAACTTGTAACGGTGTCCTGCTATATAACTGAGGATGGGAGTTCTCGGCTGTCATTAGTTAAACGAGGCCACATTGCTAGGGTATCGTCTCCGCCCACGGGCAGGGAAGATCTAAGTGTCTACCTATGTGGTTTGGGAGATCTGGAGTTCAGCTGTTCTAGAATGTCAGTGCCACTTGTTGAAATTTCGTTGATACTATGGTGGGGCAGTGATGGTTACCATACAAGAATTGAGGGAATGATGTTTTTCAAGAGTGACGGGAACAGTATCGATATGGGAAAGACGTGAGGGGGGAGTCATGTGGCCTGGGTAGCATTTGTACCACATCCCGGTAATGATGCGCGTACCAGCTTTGAAGAGCTATGAAATGAAATATCTTTACCAACATGGCGTAGGAGTGCTTGACATACTATGGTCAGAAAGATAGGCAGTAGGAGGAAGTTGAGTCGTAAAGTGAAGCATTTAGTACCACTGTTCAGTCTGGAAACTGGAACGGGAAAGGTAGTGAAGGACGTGTCGATCGTTCTGAGAAGAACGTGAAGGTGGGAAGTATCATCAGCAGGTAATTGTCGTTGGCGTTTAGGCTTGGGACCAGTGTGGGTCCGACGTGGAGATGGGTCGGCGATTTTTGAAAATTGCCGCACTTAGAGGGAGAGGCCGGATAGCATAGGTCAGGGAGAGAAAGTGTACGATAAATCGAAGGAGTCAGTCGAGGCCTCGCACCTTGAAGCGGAGTGGAGGAAAACAGCACCGGCAATAGGTACAGAGGCATGAGGATTGTCTTGATGAGTGGTCCTAAGGACGAGGCAGGGTCAGAACGGGGTGCGGTTTCAAGAAGGGGCCCAGGGGTACCAGGTTCATGGTCTAGGGCTTGCCATGGTTAGGTTACTTCTTTCTTTTTGTTTTAAGAAATAAGAAGAAATGAAATAATAATTATAATAAAAAAAAAAAAAAAGAAAAAAAAGGGGGACCGGGGAGGGATAGGTCCTAGGAGGAATCGAAAGGCAGAATATCCCTCCGCGCAAGAGGACCCTCATGAACCGCAAGTGCCCGCTGATGCAGCATGGAACCCGTGCCATACCTACATCTTGAGTAAAAACTAACAATCTGGGGATAGCAACCTACATCTGCGAGCTCTCGGTGGACAAAAGTGAGGGCGGCCGGTTATCCGCCACAAAGCTACTCCTTCGCAACCCCCCGGAATCCCGAAAGGTGGCTTACAGAGATACACTCGTCGCCCGAAAGACTCCAAAGCTACTACGGGTTACCGGTGGAGGGATGGGTAAATCCCCAGGCGATCCAGATTCCACGGCAAACTACCGCCACCGCTAGAACCTCAAACAGAATGGGATGGACCCCGTCTCTTTCCTCCACAGGGAACTAACGCGCTTGTGGAGAATACCAAAGGAAAAAAGAGGAGGGCAAAAGGGAGGGGTGGGGAGGGGGAGGTGGAAAGGAAAAAGGGGAGGTTGGGATAGGGGAGGGAGAATTGGGGGTATTTAGGTTCGAGTCTGAGGAAGAAGAACGATAGGTTTAATTCCTCAGACCAAGGCCTCTTCACCACGCCAAGGAGCCCCCCTTGAAGAGGACATACACACAACTGAGGAGGATGTGAAGAAGCTGCTAAGTGACCTTAATACCTCAAAGGCGATGGGACCGGATAACATCTCCCCTTGGGTTCTTAGAGAGGGAGCAGAGATGCTGTGTATGCCACTAACCACAATCTTTAACACATCCCATGAAACTGGGCAACTACTTGAGGAATGGAAGACTGCAAAAGTACTTCCCATTTTTAAGAAAGGAGACAGAAACGAGGCACTGAACTATAGACCAGTGTCACTGACGTGTATAGCATGCAAAGTCATGGAGAAGATCATCAGGAGGAGAGTGGTAGAGCACCTGGAACAAAACAAGATTATAAACGACAACAAGCACGGATTCATGAAATGCAAATCCTGTGTCACAAACCTCCTGGAGTTTTATGACAAGGTAACAGGAGTAAGACAAGAAAGAATGAGGGGTAGGTTGACTGCATTTTGTTGGACTGCAAGAAGACCTTCGACCCAGTTCCCCACAGGAGATTACTGCAGAAGCAAGAGGAAGGACAGGAAGGACACGGAAGGACACGGCAATGGATCAGAGAATACCGGACAGGAGGGCAACAACGAGTCATGGTACAAGATGAGGTATCACAATGGGCTCCTGTGACGAGTGGGGTTCCACAGGGGTCAGTCCTAGGACCAGTGCTGTTCTTGGTTTATGTGAATAACATGATGGAAGGGATAGACTCAGAAGTGTCCCTGTTTGCAGATGATATGAAGTTAATGAGAAGAATCAGATCAGATGAGGATCAGGCATATAAAATACTGTGAGGAATTGACAAGGTGGACAAAGACAGGATGTTCTAGAGATGGGACACAGAAACAAGGGGTCACAATTGGAAGTTGAGAATCCGTGAGTCAAAGGGATGTTGGAGTATTTCTTTTTGATGTAGTGGAGGCGGAACACTTACTAGTTTTTAAGACGAGGTTTGATAAAGCTCATGGTGAGGGGAGTGAGGATCCTAGTTGCAATCCATTGAAGAGGTGGGCCAGGTGCTGTGATTTGTCCATGCTAACACACTATTGTTTGAGTACATATAGGTGAGGCACACACACAATTATACACACATGTTGTCATAACCACTCCCCTTCATCACTCCTCATCAATACCACTACATAACAACCCACTCATGTTTTTCTGAAAGCCACCTCTCATACTCACCCACCTGACACATACCCACTCACCATTCTCACCAACTCTCACCATTCTCACTTTCCCTTTCTCACACCATCACTGTACTCTTTCACAGGTAAGAGTATTCCTCATACACCATATTGTTTCCAGAACCAATTATCATCAAAAATAAATTTCAAAATTCGCAAATAACGGAGTCAACAATAATGGACGTTCTCATATTTGCAGTTAACTGGTTTTGAACGTATAAAATAAGTTATACAGAACACGACATATATGAAGGCACTTGCACGTAAAACTTGAAAATGAATTTTACATCATTTTCAGAGACCATCTAAAACTTTAAAAAACCTGAAAAATGCAAAACCAAATAGGTACAGCTCAGTGTAGTTCCAGTACTTGACTCTTTCACATTTCCTTCAGTTTACAAAATAATACTGGCTTCTGAAATGGCGCCCATGGTGACTACATCACTCGCTCAATACACAGCTCTTTATGGACATGTATATATGTTGTAAACTTTCAGTCAGATCAAAGACGATTTCTCAATATTTTGTCTGTGAACTATATAGCTTTCAAGCATGATGACGACATCAATATGCTGGCGCCATGAGGTATTCTCCTGCTAGACATCTGACAGTACTACAAAATCAACTTGTGCTTACCAGATGTTAACAGAGATTTCCAGTTTGAATTTCAAATAAATTATCCTCTTTATATTTCTGGCAAGCATCACTGCTACCTGCAGCTTTAATATACTGATAATATAGTGTTACTACAGCAGCTCAAACATTACTGCTGTATTCAATAAAAACTAACCACAACCAGCTTCTGTTTCAGAATGACCATGGAATAGAAAGGTCATATAGTGTGCATTCATTAACCATAACTGGCCATCATCAATTTGAATTAGATTTTTCTTCAGCCAAAAACTTGAAAACATCTATGTCATCTGAGCACAACTCCGCTCGTTCTCGCACTTCATCCAGAGTGTAGTCTTTCAGTAGTTCTCCATTCTCAAAGACTGGGATCAACAAATCCTGGAACAAAGGAAAACATTTATGTAATCAGTCAATATTTTAGGCATGTACATATAGTTATTCATCTTAAGTATTTTTAATAAATTTAAAAAAAAAAAATTACTGAATACCTTACAATATATATTATTCATATATTTTTATATATAGATTTTTATATATATATATATTATATTTATATTTATAATATATATATTATTATATTATAATTAAATATATATATATATATTTAGATATTACATATTTATTTTATATATAATTTATATATTTATATATATATATAGATATATATATATATATTTTTATATATTATATTATAATATATATCTACATTCTCTTTTTTAGTATTTGTATACAGGAGAAGGGTTTACGTAGCCATTGCTCACCGGCATTTTTAGTCGCCTCATACGACACGCATGCGTACCGGATGGAAAGATTTCTTTTACACCTTCCCATGGACAACCGTGCAAGAAATAATAAAAAGAACAAGAGTATTAGAAAAGGAGAAAATCCTAGATGTATGTATAAATATTTATGCAGGTGCGTGTCTGTGGAAAGTGTGAACCCAAAGTGTAAGTAGAGTAGCAAGATATCCCTGTTATCCTTAGCGTGTTTATGAGACGAAAAGAGACCAGCAATCTACCATCATGCAAAACCAGTTACAGGTTTATTGTTTCACAGTCATCTGGCAGGACGGTAGTACTTCCTGGGTTGAAGTTTTTTTTTTCGGGCCATCCTGCCTTGGTGGGGAATCGGCCGGTGTGTTAATAATAAAAAAAAAAATTGTATATATTATATCTTTCTTTCACCACAATGGGCCGTTTCACTCTTGGCAGGGTGGCCAAAATAGAAAAACAAAAGGTTCTCTTTTAAATTTAGTAATTTTTAGGGTGAAGGGGTTTCTAGCACCCGTGCTCCGGCATTTTAGTCGATTTACAATCACGCAGGCTAACGGAGGAAGAATTCTGTTCCACTTCCCATGGAGCATAAGAGGAAAATAAACAGAACCAAGAGCTAGGACAATGAAAATAGTAGTATACCAGAAGGGTGTGGATATAACAGTGGTCCCCCGATAACGGACGCCTTGCATAGCGGTCTATCCGCCATAGCGACGCTTTGATCGCTAAAAATTTGACCCGCCATAGCGCCTAAAACCCGCCAAGCGGGCCTTCGTCGAGTCGCGTCCAATGTGCGGCCTGAGCCAGCCTCATATGTTCCGCCGGTTGCATTGTTTACAGCCGCCTCCGCGGTTCACATTCAAGCATACAAATCGGTATATTTCGTATTATTACAGTGTTTTCGGTGCTGTTTCTGGAAATAAGTGATCATGGGCCCAAAGTAAGCTTCTAGTTCCATCCTACTGCAATAAGGGTTAGACTTCCTATAGAAATGAAAGAAAGAAGTTCATTGGATAAGTATGAATGTGGGTGCGTATCACCGACTGGTCAGGTTGTACAAGAAACCCAAATCAACCATCTCTTCTATGTCGGCAGAAAACGGCAATCAAGGAAGCTGTTATGCAAAAGGTTTAACTGTGTGTTTTCGAAACAAGATCGCAAGTGATGGACTGATGTGACGAGGACTCTTTTTGGTGTGGATATAGGAAAACAGCTAGCAGGAGATAGCGTCCTCTCAAGCGATCTATGTGAAAAGGATAGGGAAGTTGCATGAGGATTTATTAAAAAAAGGCCTGCAACTAGTGATGATGTGAGTGAATTTAAGGCTAGCAAAGGTTGGTTTGAGAGATTTAAGAAGCGTAGTGGTACCTAGGTGATACGCATGGTGAGGCTGCAGTTCGGGTCCACAATGTGCTGGAAAATATATGTGCAGGAATTCAGGAGTACATGAAACTGAAGGACTGAAACGAACAAGTGTTTAATTGTGATGAAACAGGCCTGTTCTGGAAGAAATGCCAAGCAGTACTAATTACTCAGGGGAGGAAAAGCACTCCCAGGACATAGCCTATGAAAGACAGGCTTATTTGTTGATGTTGTGCCAATGCTCGTGGTGATGCAAGTTAACCTTTATTAGTGTATCACTCTGAAATCCAGAGCGTTCAGCAAATGAATGTCCTCAAGGATAATTTGTGGGTGCTGTGGAGGGCAAACAGTAAAAGAAGGGGGGGGGGGGGTCAACTAGGCGAATTTTTCTATATGGTTACACCTTGCATTTGCCCCAATGTGATGATACCTACTGAAAAGAGATTAGAACTTAAGTGCTCCTGGTGGTTAGACAATGCTCTGGTCATCCTCAGACGTGGCAGAGCGACTTATGGGAATGAGCTTAATTAAGGTGAAGTTTTTGCCTCCTAATACACTCCTCTCCTGCAGCCCATGGACCAGCAGGTCATTCCTCAACTTCAAGAAACTGTACACAAAGCTATGTTTTCAAAAAAAAATAAAAAAAAAAAAATGTGCTTTGAAGTGACCCACGCAAATCCCCCCCCCCGATTGACTCTAAAAGAGTTTAGGAAGGATCTACTTTAATATTACTCTCAATTGTGTAAACCTTATAGGTAAGGCTGGGAGGGAGTGACTAAGAGAACTTTGTAACTTCTGCTTGGATGAAAACTGGTGGCCAGAATGTGTAGTCAAAAGGGAATTTGTTGGGTTTTGAGGATAACTGAGAGGAGTATTACCAGATGAGGATTCAATTGTGGCATTGGGGAAGTCCATTGGGGTTTGGAGGTTAGTGGGATGAGGTGGTAAGAGTTGGTGGAGGAGGGACAATGAGAACTAACACTGATGAGTTTGATAGATCAACTTCAAGAGCAAAGAGGCCAGACCTTGGGAAACTGTTCAAAGGTGGGGAGAGGAATGTATAATTGAAGGACTTGCCTTACTTCTCAAAGAATTAAGGAAATGTGTGCAAAATGGCTTGACGAAAAAAACATGCCAAACTTTTTTGATGAAAATCACCCTACACAGCTATTGCAAGCCGTGCTGGTGACTGTTACTATGACCAATGTTGTGAACCCTCTTTAGACAAAATCATTAAGGAACGGAGTGGATACAGGCCACTATGTACAGATATGTTGTGCGAAAGAAAGTCCAGTGACTTGAAGCTGGTCCTAGTGGCATTAAAGAAGAAGGGATGATAAACCCAAGAAAAGGGACTTGCCTCCTCAAGTCTTACTGGAAGGGGATCCCTTCTTAAACACTAACAATCTCTCTCCCCTCCTCCCCTTCCATAAATCATCACCAGATCTTCAATAAATGTTCAAAGTGTCATGTAATTGTGCATGCCTTTTTCAGTTGTGTGTTACTAAAATTTTAACATTTTTTTGTGGTAAAAAAAAATTTTTTTTTTTCATACTTTTGGGTGTCTTGCAGGATTAATTTTAATTCCATTAATTTCTTATGGGGGAAAATTCATTCACATAGCGAACATTTCGCTGATCAGACAGCCCTCTTGCACGGATTAAGAGTCGCATTTGCGGGTGCCACTGTAAATTGCTTGTACAGTATGGGTAGTGTGACCTGAGTGCCAAGTAGAAGTTGCAGACATACGCTGAATCTTGCATGTGTTTGAGACAGACAAAAAGGACTCAGGCTATCCTACATATGTAAAACAATTTCAGGTTTTTCTATTGTACATCATATGGCAGGGACGGTAGTACCTCCTGGGCGGTTGCTGTCTACCAACCTACTACTATAATTATATATATATTTATATATTATTTATATATATACTATTATAATATTATATATATACATACTACCTATATTCGTCTTTCTAACACACCTGCCGTATCCCTCCGAGGCAGGGTGGCCCACCGAGGCAGGGTCGGCCCACCGAGGCAGGGTGGCCCACGAGGCGGGGTGGCCTAAAGGAAAAAACGAAGTTTTCCTTTTACATTTAGTAATATATACAGGAGAAGAGGTTACTAGCCCCTCGCTCCGGCATTTTTGTCGCCTTCTTACAACAGCATGGCTTACGGAGGAAGATTTCTGTTCCACTTCCCCATGCGAGATAAGAGGAAATAAACAAGAATAAGAATAGAAAGAAAATAGAGAAAACCCGGGGGGGTTTGTAATATGTGCTTGATAATGTATGTGTAGTGTGACTCCTAAGTGTAAGTATGAAGTAGCAAGACATGCCTGTATCTTGCTTATTTATGAGAGAGACAAAAGACATCTGCAATCCTCAATCAGTAAAAACAATATCACAGGCTTTTAGTTTTACACTCACATTGGCAGGACGTAGTTCCTCCCTGGGCGGTTGCTGTCTACCAACCTATAACCTTCTTTATAATTATTTACTATATATTGTTTTATACAGGTGGGCCACACTTATACGCGGAGGTTAGGTCAGGCTACGCATAAAGCGGAAACACGCGTAAAGTGGAACACCATTTTTTTCCACTTACAAATGCATACAAAACACTAGTTAACACAGGTTACACTAACATATATTATGATTAGCAATAGATCAGGCTTCATATAACAATAAAAAGTACATACAGCACTGTGCAATTAATTACTTACTTAAAAATATTTATAGTCTTTATCTAGGGTGAGACAAGTAGTATTTATTGTAAGAATCAAGTGTGGTATGTATGGTGTCAGCCAGGTAC